TCATGGTTTGGCAACCTCATCCAACCCGAGCACAACGACGACTCTCAACCCTTACTTTCTGTAAACAAGAAGAAATACCGGGAGATGATACTTGCCAACTCAATATCCGTCTTTGACTTTCGGATATATTTACTGTCTCGCCAATGTCAACTGTTGGCGAAAATGGGACTAATTCATGAAGCTACTACTAAAGTCGGTTTCTTCCTTGGTACCTTGGGTAAGAGACTGCGAGATGTCGAAGTAAGCAACGGGATTTCCTCTTTTTGGCACTCTCTAACGATGACAGGCATCTTTACCTCCCTTGTTCATCGAAGCGTGGGCATATTCCTCTGCTCTGTCCACTGTTGAACAATGCAATGCTTGGGTCAAGGAGTACAAGATTGACACCTCAAAACCTTCCACCAACGCCGGCAAAGCTGAACTGCTAGACATTGCAAGAAGTCAGGTCAGCAATTGTTGGGGTCTGGGCTTATGATTCTGCTAATATTGCTTAGCTTGACATTATTGGCATTGAAGCAAGCCATCTGCCTCCTATTCCCCCATTCACGTCTTCTACATCATGGACATCACGACTTTCCTCTGTCGCGAAACTCAGTTTTTCGAATGAGACCCTTAATGTGGCTGTCGGTAATCGGCAAGCATTCAACGAACTCTACGTGGCGCTCACCAATCGTGCGATCGACTTGTATGCCAAGTCAGGCCGACGGAAATTCGCTTTGAAGCTGCATGGGACTCTGGCCGCTTTTGAATGGTGAATAACTAGCTCACTCTTGATGTGCCCACACTGACCTCCTTCCCAGCAATCGAGGTAACCTTTCAGCCGCCTTAAACACATTCATCTCCCTGCCCGCGCATTACTCGCCCTATCTGTGGAACTCTCTGGAAGGTTTCATGCTGTCTCGAGCTGTGCACACACATGAACAATTGGACAAACCTCAAGATACGGAATGGGTTCACATAGTCCTAGCATTTCTGAAATCTTATGTTGATCATCGCGGCGAAGAGATGCTGATGTACGACGTGGATGCGACGGAGTATGTGGCCAGGCTAGTCGACTCTCTGAGAAGTTCTGTAGAGCAACTGGAAGCGGGTAAGCTGTTTTCTATCCTTAACATGATAATCATCAAGCACAAACACCTCTAGACCTTCCTCATCCAGATCACCCAGCTCTGACAGTCTCCGTTGCTGACAGCGCGAATTTAGCAGAAACACGAGATGGCTCCTATCTTGAAGCTACCATCACCAACCATCTACCCGTCGTTTGTTTCTCCCGTCTACTTCCATTTCTGGCTGCTGAAGTACACGATAGACATTTCCTACTGAGGAAATCAATGTCTCCCTCTCAGGCCGCGAATCAGAAAAAGTGAAGTTTAACGCTTCAATATCTGATGGCCTTCCTCCCGGTCACTCCCACTTTACGTTGTATTGCAAGGTATGGGTCTCTAATTGTATACTTTTATACGCTAATCCTCTAGCAGACATCCGCGCCTGGGACCTTCCTTCTGGAATCTAGCGAAATTCGATCCTCCCATCTCGTCCTCTCAACAAACTACCGAAAGGCGTTCTCAAAACCATCAAGTAGATCAACAACCCTTATTCGCATACCCTCTGACCCGCTTGCTCTGGACGTCCGTATCTCTCAATCGAGTCGAAGTGTGTTTTGATCTTTGACCTGTGAGAGCTTTGCTGATTGATTCTTCAGTCGTACTCGGTAGTCCTCAATCGCTTATGGCTGTCCTATCCACGGGGCGAAATCAGGTTCGGAAAGCGATTGTTCGATTGTCCTCCCCATCAGCCACATTTAGATGCCGGGAGGCGTGTTTAGAGGAAGGCATGTTTCCTACCGTTTTAGAGTCCCTCTGTCTAACTGAACTCCAGAGCACGCCAACCAGAATATTGGAGTATCATTTGAGGCAACCAAAGATGGTGTTACACTCGAAGATATCCCAGATGGCTCCGAGATTTCCTTTATGGCGCCTCATTCTGATGCGTCTGCATTGACAGCGATGGTGAAGCTTTTTTCTACTCTTTCCCTTGTCGATACTGACGAGAGACCGATACTCAGAAAGTCAATATAGAAGTGGACTACGTGACGGTACAAGAACCTGACGTTTCGCGCACAGCTCGCTTTTCAAGGGTGCTCATCACGACTTTACCATTATCTGTCAACGTGGAGGACTTTTTCAGGGGCACACGGTTCGCCTTTCGTTTTCTTCATCTTGCTGTTTGGGGCTTAATACCATGTAGGTTGATCTCCAAGTTCACTGTGTCAACAACCAGCCACCAGCACATCCGAATATCGGATGCAAGATTGGACTTACCCAATGATGGCGTGGAAGGTGTGACAGTAGAACGATCATCCAGCAAGAGACGAATAATAGTAAGATTTTTCGTACATCGCCACAACCTCTTCCGACGTTTTCCTTCAGACTGTGACTCCACATCAGCCCGCAAACTTTCTCTTTGCTCTGAACTCAACCAAAGGCCCAGGTAGGTGTTGAAGTACCTCTTTTTTCGACATTGGGATGACCTAGGAGTAGTGCGTGAATCCCTCAACTTGAGCATCAAGTACAGAATGTTGCGCGAAGGTACAATCTAATGTTCTCTTTGTCCGTTTATTAACCATCTCATCGATTAGAGGTCGAGTCCGTCATTCAGAAAGAAGTTGGAAAGCTCCTTGAGGATTACCCAGACAACTTGAAGCAGAAAATCGTGCTCATAAGTAAACTCGTTGACGCTTTAGAAAGCGATGCAGGCTGGGTAGACATGTATGGGATTACAGGCGAGCTTCTTGTGCCAGATCTACATGTGGAGGATGGCGACCTTGCCATGGCCTGGACAATGGCCAGGAAGGTAATGCTACCCCAAACATTCCTTTCGTCCCTCTAATGGAACATTCGTCAGCGCCTAGCCGAACATCGTCATCCCGAATCTCCTGAGGGTTCTTGGAGGGAGATTCAAATACCCGTTGACGTGCCTTTCATGAATGTGCGTGTCCAGTCTCGTCGGACTCAGAGCAAGCTCAAATATCTAGGAAGATTGTGGCAGCTGCGCGTCTCAGGGTTGTTTCGACGCCGTTTGCTAGCGCAAGTAGCTCGGGCGAGCTGCCCTCACTGTACGCTGGGCAACCTATTTCTGCTGATCTGCTGATCCATACCACCTTCCACTGGGGCCTGAGTCCAAGCGAGCATCAAAAGCAGTACCTCTTGCGATTTAACATCGAAGAAATGGTACGTGAGTGGCTAGTCAGTGGTCCCAAACGAGGAGATTTCATTGCCACAGTCAGTCTTCTGCCCTTTTCCACGACAGGAAATGAAACTCATTTATCTGGTCTCTAGGACAATGCAATGCATATTGTTCCAATTACGTTGATTGCCCTCCATCATGGAGAGTTTCTTTTGCCCAAAATCACGGTCTCTGCCCTGCCTATATCTGGAACCCTGACAATGGGCTCCCTGGCTGTACCAAGTATCGAGACTTACCAAGTACACGGGGCGGAGAAAGTGTTGATTTTACCTCGTGGTGGACGGAGTACTTTTGTTATTAGCATGGGGCCGGGATAATTTTTTTTATCCATTTCATATTTTACTAGGTACCTTATATAGCGCATCTCTTCGGACTGTCGGTCTCAGCGGGTGAGATACAACAAGATGATAAGCTCGCTATCTCTTAATACACCATCAGACGAAGCAGTGAAGATCCAGCTATAATTGATGATATCCTCTTTTAGAGTTCATACGGAGATGTATATCTCTTTCAATAAGGCAAATGAATATGGATTTCAAAAGTCTACTTATCTAGTAACACTTTGGTGCAAGCATCAAACATACTTCAGCGTGTCATTTATAAAATCTCGACCCATCGCAACTTGAAGGCGCTTATTTGTGAGACATATTTTGACCAGCAGCTCAGAGGGTGAGACATCTAAAAGCCTAACGCCATGCAGCTCAGCCTCATACTGTTTCCGATCGCCGCTGACCAATGTTCTTCATAGTTAGAAGCGTTAGATAGGTCAATGAAAATAGTTATGGTTTGGAATTGCTGGATATTGCGGATGATCTAAAAAGAGTGCTGGCGGATCCAGACCTAGAAATGGGCCGCGTGAATTGCACGAGAAGTTCCAGATACTGTACGCTGGTCGACAAACGTGTTGAATTGTAAGCGTCGATAAAGTGGGAAACTGTGGTCTGCTAAAATATATTTTTTAAAATCAAAGTCGGCCAATTTTGGGTTGTCAATGGCTATCCGTAGTGTAAAGAACGATTCGAGGTTTAGTGGCATAATGTTACCATGACGGGAAGTGCTAAACTGGCGGACTCAACAATAAAGCTTCAGACCTGGACAAAAGAAGAGATGTTGGCTAGGATATCAACGTACAATTCCTGATATTCGAGGGTATGTTGGGTGTATTCAACCAGCTCTTGAGCGAGAGAAAACTCGCGTTTTCTGCATTCCAACCTAATCCTCAAGCGATTTGGAATGATTTGGCTTCATAGAGCATGGATGGACTCGGATGAGCGCCGAAGTTAATGAGGAGGAGCAAAAACAGAAAATCTGAATGATTTGACCATGAGTCCCTGTTCGTCTTGACTACAATTGTCTGTACAAGATCTCGGTCGCAACCCTCGTGGAGTTTAAGAATAGCGAGTATGGTTTTGAGATGAGCAACAGTTATGAAATCGCCTCTACCCTGTTGAAACATCACGGTAGAGAACAACTAATGACGAGCAGAGTCACGGAATGATCTCGAGACATTTGTGCAAGTGATGAGATCACAATTTTAACGGTTCGGTGAGTCCCAAGGAACCTCAGTGTACGGTAGAAAGTAGAAGATATGTTCGATGATCTCTAGTGGTAGTTGAACTTCCATGTTGTATATGTACAAGGAAGAAATGCGTCGCGCGATCATCTGATCAGCGATTCCGCACATTTTTCAGCTTACTCATGTGATGGTGGCAGCTTTTTACATACTTATAACGCAAAATTGCTACCTTGCTATGTGCCCCATGGCCCAGCTGGTTAAGGCGTCCGACTGTTAAGCTTACGTAAGCAAAATATCGGGAGATCGAGAGTTCGATCCTCTCTGGGGCAGCTTTATTTTACCTTTTGTTCTCTTTAGATTTTTATTTCAAGTCGTTTTGAGCTCACAAAACGGAGAGCGAGAGGCGGGAGGTTGAAGTATCAGATCATTGATGGCGCATCACAGATGCAGCGCGCGCCATCAATAACTTGAACAAACAACGATGATTGGAACTTCGGAAGTTCTCAAGCCGCGAGTGTTTTCAAAGCGAGGATAATTGCGTATAATTAGTCTAATTTAATATGAAGAGACTACTGATATATGGAGTATGACAAAAACTATGACTGGAGTAACCAAGATGAAGCTGAAAAACGATACAAGAAAAATAAAATCAACACAAGACAGTCACCAGAAAAGGGTACGCGGAAAAGCACTGAAGTTGGAATCTACAGGGCGCTAGGCAGTAGGCCACACAGCTCCTGTGTTCTCTTTCTTCGTGCTTCTCCTAATACACAAAGTAAGAACATAATTCGCAACATAAAATCGAAAAACTCACGACGCGTAGAATCGTGATCTTCACCTGCATCCACTCTCCGACGACTTTGCTCCAGAATGGAATTGATTTTATCGCTGGCGGCTCTAAGTAAGACCATGTTGACGTCGACAGAGCGCTCAGAGTACAAAGAACGAATAGGAGTGATGTACATCGCTTTCGAAGGAGAGCAAACAGGCTAAGAAAGAAAGTCAGTAATCTCATAATGCAAAGAGAAATAAAACAACGTGCTGTGTAGATACTGAAGTCATCTTCAACCAGCTCAGGAGTTTTGAGTCTGCGTGGAGTCATGGGTACCGCGTAGTCGAAGATCTCGATGCTGGGTTGGAGATAGCTAACGGGTCCACAGGGCTGGGTGGGCGTTTGTGGTTCTGCAGGTCGAACGAGCATCTCACTCGGTCCAAAAAGTTTCGAGGTCACCCCGACAGTGGAGTACGGCTCTGCAAAGAAATAATGTGAGCATAAAGTGACTGGTAAGAGAGGACCCGACGTACCTGAGGGACTCAAAGTTTGAGGTGACTGCTGGTGACGTTCTTGAGGCTTGTAGTTCTGAGGAGGGAATCTTGGTACAAGTGTCCTTGCTAACGCGACTCCAACGAATTGTGTGGCAGTCTTCACCGATAAACGCAGCAGACCAAAGAGAAGACCTCCCATCTTCGTAGATGAACGAAAGAGAAAGTTAAGAAAGATTTCGGAAGAAGTATTAGTTTTGGCGCAAGAAATTAACGACGGCGTTCAAGATGAGTGTTTGAACCAGGTTCGATTCAAAAGGAGAGTATTTCGAAGAGTTTAAATCCCGTGTCCAGTGTCTAGCATGAAGCGTTTCAGGACCGTTCCAAAATTCCCTCCTGGCAGCATTGTTCTGTACCAAGACCCGATCACGGATGGGCAACACATTATGAACAAGACTGGCCACGTTCATGCAATACCAGCGGCAATAAATCTTGTTTGCGTCGAAGGAATACGTAGTACACGTCAGTATTCTCGAAACCCAGCACCTTTGCGATTCGTCCAAAGTGCATGGATGGAGCAAGGAGCTGGCATAAGGTTCGAGAAATTAAGGATTTTCGGACTTTCGGACCGCTTGAAATCTCCCACATGGCAGAGGCACGGCGCTTGCTTACGTTCCTTCTTCCATGGTCGAGCTACCACCCGAACTCGTTGAGCTCATAGTCGACTTTTGCCCTTACGAAATACCTCTGTGGGGTACTCCATCTATAGAAGATAAGCAAGTACTTTTGGCTTGTACAACAGTCTCTCGATCATTCTATCACGTCGCTCGGCGTCGGCTCTTCTCTACTTTTGTCATACGAAATTTTGAAAGCAGCTCGCATAACCTTCAATCATTGTATGAGCTAGTCAGACGCCCAGATTTTCTGGCGCTAGTTCATACCTTGAAGCTTCAAATTGTAGAGGGGAGATTTTGGCCGCTAGGCTCCAACGACCCTCACGTTCAACGCGTCCTGAGCGCGTTTAACCAACCCGACTCAACGGTTCAACATCTCTGTCTGGCATGCCCTTTCCACACGACCTTCAATGACAACTTTGGCCAGCTTGCTCAAAAGGAGCTTCTGGTCATGGTATCTCGTATTCACTCGCTCACCATCCGGGGCATGGCTTCACCCATCGCGTTTTTGGCAAACGCCCCGCTTCTCATGAACATACAGCTTTTGGACGCGCCTTTGGAAGTCAACAATGCTGGGCTGGGATTTTTATTGTCGGCACATATCAAGGTGGCTGTTTTCAGAGGGGGAGTTGATCAGCAGTTGGATGCTTTGTGCCAAGGCTATCGGGATCGTCACCAGGACCTACCCAGCTTTGAATCTGTCAGACTCGAGACCTCCAGAGAATACAATGGCTACAATCAGACAACACTGCTACAAGAAAGTCACGATACTCTTTATCTTCTAGAAATGTGAGAATATGTTCTCGCTTTTGTTCAATCGTTGATGGATCGCATTCAACAGTATGCCTTACGCTAGAGGCGTTACCCCGAACATTGCGCGGTTTAATATTGGCGGTCTCAAGAAACTCCAGACGCTTCGAGTCATATTCGATGTGGTTGTAACCCACTTTTCGCTGTCGAATTTTCTCATCCTTCATTCGTTAGCTGGAGTCTCCGAAAGTCCCACAGCACCGTCATTCGTCACCAACATTGAAGTGCTAGTCCTTTGCCAAGGGACCATGCCATGGCCGACTGTCAATAACGCAGAGATTCTCGATGAACATTTTCCACGGGATCGTTTCGGCCATCTTAATCCCCAGAACCTCGTCAAATACCATCCTGCCCTACGTTCCTTGGACTTTATTTACGACCTCTCTCAGGTTGTGTTTCATACACGTCAGACTCGTACGATAGAAGAGGATGAAAGCTGCTTGGAGCAAATCTTAAGACCGACTTTGGAGCGGGCCATCTTAGGCAGCGTACGTGCAGAAGAACAAAGGCAGGCAAATATATCTGTGTCTCCTTACATGAGTGTCAGAGTATCTTGTGTTTGCCCATCACCTTGGCAGCCTTACAAGAACTCGCAATTATGATTCGATTCAATTGTCGCTTGTAATCTGAATTGCGTTGCATCCGATAGATAAATATGGACCCTCGAATCCCTTTCGTAGTTCCCTTTCCACAGCATAAACCAAAAACATGCCATTTCGTCAATTTAGTTGTTTGAGCAAAGTGAGTTATGGGAGGTAGCTACCGAGGGTATAGCATACAGTTGGAGGTAAATTTGCCAAGTCACTTTGCCGGAGTGGTTAACGGGATCGCCTGCTACCTCAGTAGTCCAGCGGTTGGTCTTTGACCGCGAGTGTTCGAATCGCTCAGGTGACGCTTTTTTGACTCATTTTCTTCTGTCAACATTTGGAAGCCTTTCATTGTTCCAATCGGACGTTGCTTTTACAGCTGTAAAAGAGGAATTTAATTAGATTTTTAGGGTATGATCAATAAGTACTGCAAATGAATCTTACAACTAGTTGCAAAATCTACCTACTGCGTAGCTTGGCGTTCAGCGCGGTACAAATCAAAATCCGACGGTATATCCCACGCGACCCGTGCATCAATGCTCGGGGAAAGCAAAATATCAGACCTGTGATGTATCCCGAAAAGAGCGTCAACGATCGCTGAGAGATTGGCTTCTAATATCCTCTTAGAGTCATTTTCATCTGAGTCTTTCGAAGGCTCTCGCCAAATCTTTTGCCCCGAAGCGTCCACTATGATCATGATAGATTTCAAATAAGGAAGTTTTTCAAGCAAAGTGGAGTGGCGAGTACTTTCTTGTGTGATATAGGTAGCGTTCGCTTGAGTTTCCTGACGCATGTAGATGGTCCCGGTGTAAGGAAATAAAAAGTCCAGTTGTTGAAGATGTGCAGGTAGCATGGCAGACTCGAGAGAATCGAGGAAAGACATGATCGTCGTCTTAACAAAACAAAGGAGATTATCGTTCTGTGACGATTTGGTGCCATGAACGACGAATTTGATGGTTGAGAGCTTGTGGAAATCTTCGAGCTTAAGTTGAACACCAAGTAGTGCATCCCGCTCGGAATGCCGAGTGAATAGATGCACTCTGTTGAACGGTCATGCCAATAAGTCAACCCGAAAGGCAGGCAAAGACATGCTGAACACTCACATTATCAAACTCTCAAGGACTTCTTTACTTCCCTCCAGCAATTTACCCACTACCAATGTATCCTCTTTGCGATACTCAAGTCTAATTCTCGTACACGCAGGTAAGCTCTGACCACGCCCCTGATACATTTTGCTAAAAAGGCGCAGGTTCATCCGGATGACCAACTCGCGAAGATGGGAGGGAAGCGGCAGAACGTTTAGAAAACTCTGAGACTCGGCTTCTTGAGAATTTCGTTCTAAGCCCACGGGAACGTGAATCAGATTCAATGACTCTAAAAGGGGGGAGTGTTCGAAAAGGAAAGCTGGGGCTCGCAGTGACTTGATAGACAACTGACGAACCCTGGGGAGAACCTGCAGTAACGCTTGCTGGGTCGAGGTACCGATACTCCAATCCAGCGGTGTGTAGGTTGGTCCTTCAAGGCATATGTGACTGAGATTTGAAATCGAAGTATTCATGGCAGTAAAGATGCGACCGAGCAACTTGTCAGCAGATGGACGACAATGCCATACCCAAACACCAGGCTCTGAACTATCCACGTTGAGCTTGAGTGTCTTGATCACACCCAAGAACCCTGCGTCCTCAAGTAGCTCAAGTAGAGTGGTGAGCATTTGGACAACATCTTTGGGTTCGGGTTCCCCTCGTGTGTGTGTGGGCTCCTCTAGAATAAGGGTAGAGAATAGGCGTCGTCGTGCAGCATTACTGAATGATCGTGACACATAAGTGCAAGAGCGTAGATCTTCTGCTTGTTCAGCGTGAGCGTGATCTTGAGCAAGTGAAGATTTCATTGACCAAATGAGTTTGTCATAAGGGAGAGCATCGACAATGAGATCAATTATTTCTGGAGGCAGTTCGACTGTCATGGTTAGAGAGAGCGTCACATTCTTGAGCGGCTTTCCGCCACCCAGCGAAAGCGACTTGCCGTTACATCTGGACTCCCAGTCCACCAAATGATGTGAACACAAAGCTATGGTCGGGATCTCCGAAATCTTCTACTCTCTGCTCTCCCACAAATTCATCTGTATATTGCAACATCTTGCCAAAAGGCCTGGTGCTACATGAAGAAATCTACTGGCGCTAATGCAAAGCACGAGGTCGTGTGTCCATTACTTAATCTACCGAAAAGAAAGGCGAAGCTTCAAGGAGCGAGAGTACGGTTTAACTAGAAAGTAGGGTAGTCTGTAGACATTGAAAGGTATGTGAATCGTCCTCTACATTTTGAGGTTCGAGTCTGCGAGAATTGTCGACAGACGCTATTTACTTTGTTTGTGGTTATGATGCCAGAAGCAGCAACTTGGCCAGCCAACTCTGGTTGATCTCCTTGCAAGTCCCATATAAAATCTGCAACAAATTTCATGGTGTTACTTATCTCATTTCTCCCCAAGATATTTCTTGCCAGACTCTCTGAGTTCCTTACTTTCGACCACGTGCAACACTATAGCCAAAGTCACCACTTTTCTGTCAATACAATACCGCAGACAACTACTTGTTCTTATTTCGCTGTGTACAAAGGTTTTTCTCCCGCTTTTACTCAATACGACTGATTGATACCAGTCGCCCGACACGGAGAGTTAGCACTTCCGAGATCTTTATCAGAAAGCAGCGCGAAATGTCGCAGGCGTTTTCACTTTGCGAACCACACCGACATATATTTTCTATCTCTCGGGTTCTCTTGGCGTTCTTGTAGCATTTATCGGCTTCAACGAAGCCAGGACGCTTTTGAGGAACCAGAGTTACCGGGGCTTCAGCAAAGCCTTGTCCTATACTGGAGCAATCTGAGATGTACTACCGCTTGTACATTGCCTCAGGTTATCGATATATTTCAACTTTATTAAGTCAGAGTGTACAAGTGTCGCCTATAAGAAGGGCTCTGTCGTGAACCAAGTCCTCAGGTCACTCCGGCAGTTACACTCATCTCTTACATTAACTTCTTCGTCGCTGGTCGACAAGGTTCTAAGCTTATTTTCTCATAACCACACTCACACTACATCATGCTCGTCCCTCAAATTTTCCTTCCTGCCGCCATCCTGGTTCAAGCTCTTTGTCTGGTCACAGGCGCTCCAATCCCTGGCAATGTAAGTCAACTTTCGTGAATGTATGCCCCAGAAACTGACCACTCATAGCCTGGTGAAATTACCATCACTCCTGCTTCTGAAATGAGCCTCGACAAACAACAGCAGCAGGTCTCAACCATGGAGAAGTGGGCAAACGCTAACCCGCAGCACAAATACGTAAAGAACGGCGCCGAAGTTCAAGTTACAGATCACTTTCATGTGTCACCAGCAGACCCGACGCCTCATCTTCGAGTTGAAGTTACACCAGGTTCATATGGCAATACGGACACAAGACATGTTACGAAAGTTGGGGGCATGCAACCTATGCCTGACCATCTTAGACAAGGACGTCCCCCAAGCCCTCAAAACGTTCCGGCCCCCAAGCCTTTTAAATCAATTGTTATCGGCAAACCTGTTGATTACAAGCCAATTGTCGTCGGACCGCCTGTTAACAAACAAGCTGTCTTCGGACCGCCTGTCATCAAACCAATTGTCGTCGGGAAGCGCGTCGCCCAACCTGCTCCCAAGAATGCACCACCCGCCCAACAACAGCCCCAACAGCCGATAAATCTGAAGCGGCCTGGTCCCGTTCAGGAGCAGAAAGAGGTGAAGAAGCGAAAGTAGCTGGATTTCGGGTTGGTCTAGGTAGACTCTCTTAGATCCACCAATCTACCTGGAATATATTCGTCGTGCACACCTTCTCTCAATCATGTACGGAATTTGAAAGGACTACTATGCGTGCTGCACGCAATACTATTTCAGACTCCCGTTTTTACCATGGTGGTCCAGGAGTTTGATGGTCGGCATGGCCAGAGGACATCGTTTGAGGTCAGGATTGCGTGAGAACGTTAGAGTGAATTCGTTCCCGACCTGATTCTGGGTTCGTATCCCAAGTTCCAAGTTTCAACTTCATAAAATTAGCTAAAAAGGATTGACGAAGCTAGCTCCACAGAGGATCTCCTCACTACTCGTCTTCCACTAGAACTACCCTCGCAAATCTTCCGTCTGTGCCTCCCTTCTATGCCCGGATTTGACTATCCTGGATATGCCTCCCAAACGGGCTCCTGGCCCAAGGGAGATGATACGGTTAGTTTGCCAACGCAGTACCTACTTGGATCCGTCTCCAGGCGTTGGCATAGAATCATTTGGTCATCGCCAGATTGTTGGAACATCCTTATCGTTCCATTGGATACTGGTTATACTCGGGCGCTTATCAACAAAAGGCGTTTGGTGCTCATACAAGAATGGCTCAGCCGCTCGGAACAGCTACCACTTTATGTGCGCACATTCACACGTAGGGTAGTATTGGCAGATTTGATTTCGCCTACGTGAAGGTCAACTATTCGAACATGACAGCTTTTTCTGGAGCGACACTATCCATCGACGAATCTCTCGAACTTCTCCGCTCTAGTCCTCAATTAGTTGTGTGCACTTTACGCATACGTCCAAGTAACATTCTTGGTCCTCCGACATCTTCGACTCAAATCTGGCACATGTTGCTGAAAAATTAAAAATTCAAGGCGAACCACTAGACGAATATGTCAATGCATCAGGTGCCCATGCCTTCGAACCTTCTCGGTTGTCTGCTTCGACTCTACTTCAACTGTAATTTCCGATTTCATCTCTCAGTCCGGATGCCAGCTGCTGGAAGCAGATTGGTACATGACGAGCGGTGCCAGACCACATAATACCCTTCGAAATCTGGAGATGGCTCCCTCACTTACTTCTCTGAAGCTATCTCTCATCACTGCAGCGGAGATTGTAAATCTGTTCTTCACTAAATTCGAAGACAAGACTTTTCTGCCACAGCTCTCTAATTTTCACTTATACGGTTATCGAGTTTTCTCTTGGTCTTTCTTGTGCTCTGTTGTTTCCGATCAGAAATTGCACCGCCCATTATCTGCCATTATCTTTCAAATTTTTCCAAAGAGTACAGAAGCAAATTTTCGCTGGGGTAATATCCATAGGCGAGATCTGGGCAGAATACTGGAAATCAACCAGAATAGTATCAAACTCAGGATACTAGTCGATGGGATATCGGAAGACCTTGTAAAGCGTTGGAAATACGGAGTTGGAGTACTTAATTAGTCGTAGAGATGAAGAGTGTCCTATGGTGTTAAAACGAGTTCATTATAGCTTTTTTCTTACAAATG